ATGGATGGCTCAGTGGGTTAGTGCTCTCAGTACAACTGTTGTTAGTCTGATTCCCTCAACACAGCTAAAACAGTCCATAATGGATCTATAATTCATGTGTGAATGAATTGAATAGTCTGTTTTGAATGAAAGCATCAGGCAGTTTTCTTGGATGCCAGAAGCATCATTTATTCAGTGTAAATACTCAAAAATGGCTCTTTTAATATTTCTGATTGTATTAGCCGTGCCTGGAGCTATGCTCTAACCCCCTGCTCCGGTCAGCTGTGGCACATGAGCCATATGGCAGAGTCTATAAAATGCACAGTCAGAAAAGAAAAGTGTACTGCGGAGGTACATTTAGTTCTAAAAGGTAAACAGAAATGAACTTTATCAGCAAAAATGATAAAAATAGCCTGACTTCTTTAGTGTAATGGGTATGATGGTCAGAGAAGAGGACATAAACAGCATAGTGTTGACACTGTATCTTCTCATATCACTGCGAAAAGGTTCATGGTGTTGTACCTTTTGTTATGCAGTCATATGGCACAGTTTGTTATGCAGTATAATGAGTTGTTGTGTTTTCCAAATCTGCAGTAATGTGAAGATACAGAGTGAGGCACTTCTGTCTCATTACCGTACAGCATGGTACTGCTACTGCCGTTGTCAAGGGTTTGATTCCCACAGGATCCGAGCACGCTAAATATAGCTAAACTAATTAAAGGCACCCCCGTCCCCCAGACCTCTCCAAAAAAAGAAAAAAAAATCTAAAATTAAAGCATCCCCAGTCAGTGACATTAATCTCTTGGTCAATGAAAACTTGACTAAAGATTGCGCTAAAATAAAAGAGAGGAAATAACCTTGTATTTCCAGGACTGCCATTAACAGAGAAACCTTTTTGACAGCACCCAAAAAATTATCCTATCCACTTCGACTTGCAAGGTCCCCTGACCGACGAAAACATGGCATTATTTAGCTATTTTTTGTTAGCCTTGCTAGCTTGTCTAGTCTACTTGTATCGTAAGAGGGTGATCACTGAAGAAGTGCAATAGTTTGATTTATCTCTGAACAAATTGTAAAACTCTGTACATTAAAAGGAAAAATGTGCTAACGCCCCATGGGATCGAATCCGACCTTTGGCCCTTTGCTGTGTATCATCCCCTCTGCGTGGAAACTGTAAAAAATACTTTCAAAAAATACTTGGCAGATGATTGGATGAACCCTCTGTCTATCACAACAAACAAACCTCAGCCAATGAGATCCACAAACTTGGTATTGGTGAATAAACTCATGGCCACCGTCGAGAACTATCAACTTCTCTGATCGAGTTGACACAAACACATAGCCTGAAGCCTGCCAAGATGGATTCTCGGGTCCTTCACGAGTCCAGCTGCTCAGTTAACTGATTGGTCGACTGCACAACACCTGACATATTTGAACTGCTGAGCAAATCAGAGATGTGATTCAGAGGTCTGGAAGCAGACTACCAATAATGGTCATTCAACAGTAAACATGCTAGCACATTAGCTTTTTAATGGTAGTGCTAGCTTGACTAGTACCACAAAGGTAGAATGGAACCAAGGATGTTATGGTTTTATGTTAAGGATCTTACCCACTAGGCCTCCAGGACACCCCCCCCAAAACTGCTTTCAATCATCTATGACATTTCTCTAATGCACGCATCTTAAGCCAAGAGTTTTGCAGCAAAACAACTGCACTATGGGTCCAAAATGTCCAATATGTAACCCCTTCATGTGCTGGATTTAAGGAACCAACAACACCTTCAAATCCCCAGACTTCTTCCCAGCTCCCTCACTATGTTTTAAAACCCAGCTATGAACTGTGCTGACTTTCAAAATGTTGACAGTCAGCTGTGAGGAAACTTTTATTAGGCACAATAACAAAAACAGGCCGTATCTTTAATGCCACTGCTTTACTGTTACTTGTTTCAACTGTGATGAAAAGAGACATTTAATCACTCCTGAATATAGTGAGGCAAATATCCACAACAATAAATGTAATGTATGACGTTTGGATCCGTATTGCACATTCACTATGAAATAGTTGAATTATACTGCACAGGAGAAACTTCATGGACTTTTTTCTAATTCTTTGTTGCTCTTTCACCATTTGATTTCATACCCTGTTCTCAGACAGACGATAGATTACTTAATGGCTGAGTTTACAGTCATCCAATTCATTTTTTCTTTGGTACGTGACCTGTGCCTTTCCCCTACTAGTTCATGTGTTAAAACAACTGGAGAGTTAAAAGCAAGGTTTTAAATTGCAGTGGAAACACAGCCGGCCTAAGTGGCCGAGATGGCTTAGAAGAATAATGCTCCTCTGTATCCCCCAGGTTATAATTGTCTTCAATAGGCCTCCTGCTGATTTGAAATGGACTCATTGTCCACAGTGCTGGGCACCTCTGCTCAATTAGCCTCTCTCTACTTAGTCGTGCTGAGCTATTGCTGGACGCATCCTCATACAGTGGCACATGAATACACACTGACACACACAGAGTAGCGTGCACGAGCACTGTCTCGCGCACTATCATCACGCATAGAAAGACGTCAGCGTGTATAAAAATAGAGCTTATAAATGGGGGGAAAAAAGTGTTTTATGTTTACAAGAGCTGATGTCATGTTTGGTTTAGATCCATAGCTGACGAATTGGAGGGCAGCTGTGGCGAGTATCAGCCTGCTCAGCTTTGGCTCAGCTATCTGCTGTTTTTTGGTGCTTTTAAAGGAGCAGAGTTCAAGGAGTTACAGTGTGTGTGTGTGTGTGTGTGTCCGTGTCTCTGTCTTCGTGTTTGTGCGTGTCTGTTTTCAGCAGTGGAGGCATGCACACGGTGACGCTGCTCTGGTTGCCAAGCAACACAGGAACGTGGGTGGAAGGATTTCCTGTCCTTAGGAAGCTTTGTTTATAAGTGGGGGGGAGTGAGTGTGTATGTATATGAATGTGTGTGTGTGTGTGGATTTCAGTGTGCATTTCAGCAGCGTGCTTGTGTGTTTTTAATGCACTCCTTGCCTCAAGTAAAAGTGCTACAGAAAAGTCACTTAAGACACACACACACACACATACACACACTGTGTATACAGTGTACACACAGAGAAAAGGCAAAAAGAGGCCCTTTCTAGTCTGTTGAGTTGGATTTGCGTTGCATAACTCCTCTAGCCAGGTCCGCTTGCAGCGCTCTGTCTCCTCCTCTTCTACCCAAACACTCTCACCATGTCACAGCCGCCACGCTCGCGCCAGGCCGCCTCCTGCTAATGATGTCATCAGCACGCCTCATTTTATGTCTCCTCTCACACATGAGATTGCAATTATGTGTTCTTGCCCTGCATGCGATCACAAAAAACACACACACAGCATGTCTGTCCTCCAGGCGTTGGACCCCGTGATTACGTAATTGACATTGAGTGAATGGGATGACGTCAGCTTGGCTCTCTCTGACTCTCCTGTCTTTCTGGCTAGCTCCAGTGATGTCATAAGTGGATGCAGCCATACTCGGTGTGTGTTGGCACGCACAATCGTGTGTGGAGACAAAAATGACCTCAGGAACCATCTGATTTATATAATGTGTTTACTCTTCCCCCACTTCTCCCCTCTCACTTTCCCTTAAAGTGGAAAGACTTAATAGATACTTTATTGTTCAGTATGTGTTGTTCTTAGCAACTTGAGGCATTTAAAGATACTCCTGCAACACCCACATACACACACACACACACACACACTGTTGCAGCCTGTTGCAGCCCCTGGAGAACGGCTTCTATTTGAAATGGATATCCCGGTGTCTCGCAACTGGTAACTCCATCGCCTTGTTGCCCTCCGTCTGCGACCGTCTGACCTTTGTTGATTCTCATCCCGAGATTTGCCGACAATCACAGGCAGGCAGTGGATGAAAGGAAAAACAGATGATGCTGGGTCGTCTCCACAGATACTGTACGTGCCAATTCTTATTTTAACAAAAGAAAATACTGCGTCATGGAGAAAGAGGAGTGATTCGGTGGTTGGCCTTCTTCAGCTCTCAACAAAAATATCTGTTTTTAGCTCACTGTTTGAGCAACGGGGTTTTAGGCACAGAGGAAGAGTGCTCTATTTGTGTCTTGAGTTGAATAGGCCGCCTGTTGTGTTCTCCAAGCGTTGTGGTTGAAGCTCTGAACATCAGCCAGCACTGGATGGGAGAACTGGGAGGTTTTAACAGACCTGAATAAATACACACACACACACTCAAAGACGCACAAACACACTTTGTCTTTCTGCCGTCCTCTCCCACTTTTTCTCTCTCTAACTCTCTCCCCAAACCCAAACCGAAGGGAAATCACACCACACAGTGAATTAACAGTTTATGAACTGAGCAGCAACACACATACGAATGGTTTAAACACACACACACTTGCACAAACACAAAATATGCAGATTTAACTAATAAACTGATTAACATTAGCTCGGTCCGGCTAAGACCAAACCACAAGCAGTCTACTGTACATTCCATTAACCACACGACAGCTTAACGCTGAACAGGATGATTTGATACCACTGCACAAACACACACAAGTTCATTAACACAAAGACAAAACCCGCACACTTTAGATCATAGCAGCACAAATAGATCAGAGATGCGGACCAAATGATGGCCAGACTTCCCTTCAACAAGTAACAATTGGACATAGATACACAACTACAGTAATTATATACATATGCACGCACACACACACACACACACACACGCTTAACCCCCCCCCCCCAGGAGTCTTAGGGCCTTAGTCAGCGTCTGTGTGTCCATGCGTGGGCCTGTTCCCTGGCAGTGTGAGGGGAAAAAATACCTTCCCATATGATGTAAACACCGAAGTCCCTGTGTGTGTATGCACGAGCGTGTGTGCGTGCACGCTTGTAAGCTTGTGTGAGTGTGTGTGTGTGTGTGTGACTGGCATTCTCCGAGATAGGATTCGCTCTCTGTGACAGTTTTCCAAATTATTCCACAACACGGTGCAGTTTCTTTTTAAAGATAAGTTTCTCTGCCATCTCTGCTTTGTTCCACTGTGTGCAGTGGAAAGAGACGGCAAAGACGGAGGAGACAGAAGGGCTGACATGTGACATCACTAACTAAAGCAGGGAAGTGAGGTAAAAAACGGAGGCCACTGCTTTTAACTCAATTTTTAAAAATGGCTTTTATTGATTTTATGATGGTTTCGGAGCGTGCAGCACTTTGTTTTGAGTAATGCCGAACTTCATTATGTTGACTCTTTTGTAGAAAATATAATTATTGAGTCTTCAGGAGGCCCCTCTTTTTTTTTTTTTAGCTTTAAAACATGACTCATATATTAAACATGTGTATGTATGTTGTGTGTATGTTTGTGTGTGTGTGCATATGAGAAAATGTCAAACTAACTGTACATATATATATATATACTGTTAAGCAGTACTCCAGCTGATTTTGCAGTGTGCGCAAAAGTGATGCAGCAGCAGCCATATTCTGACTTTTAGTGTATTATAAGTGCCAAATGCGGGTTGTGTGTTTTTTTTTTTTTATGTGTACAGCTGAGACTAATGTGACCTTCCCTGTCCACCGTACCTATCGTGATGTCGGCAAATTAAATCAAAGCAGCTTACTACTCTTAAACCCTTTCTAAAAAAAAAAAAGTCTGTCCATGTTTTTGCCGTAAGAAACATCTGCGTCACATGTTATTAAAGATGGGGTGACACGTTCCCTGTGTTAAGCCACCAAAAAGAAAACACGAAGAGACGTTTTTGCGAGAGGTCGCTCGTGAGCAAAGCAGGGCTCAAAGCCTGACGTAATTATAATTGTTTTCACTCAGGATATCCAAGTTTCTAGCCCTTATCCTGATGTGAGTTCCTCTATTGGCAGGTATGTTGTCTGATTCTTAAAGCACCTAAAGGTGGATTTAATATGTATGTGACACACAATAACAGTTGCAGCCTTCTTCAGCTTTCATGCCAGACCAGCCTGCATTGTTTTGCTGAGGTCCTCTGCATGTTTACCCACACTGCACTGACAGTGAATGAGAGG